TAGGGAAATTTTAAAATAAGGCTTATTCATGGGCTTTTGGTATTTGGATGGGAAAGTCACTAACTTGCAGGAATCCTTTAGAAATGTATGACAGTATAATATATGTCGCTTTATGTGAAATACTATATTCTAGGGGATATTAATGATTAAAATTTTGTTAGACACTAAATTTTAAATTACTGTAGAATGACTGAATGTCTGAATGTACTAGATGCCAAATTTTAAAAAGCATTTAGAAAACATTTTGACTTAAATTTTCATTAATTGTGCCTTGACTTGGTATCCAAAAATAAGTGCATACATACTATTTATTTGGTGCTAGGAAATGTTAACAAATTTAATCCTTTAATAGATGCTCTTTAAAAAGGAGTCTTGCTGTATATATAACTGTTAAAAGGGAAACTATGTATGTGGTATAGTATATAAAAGACACTGTCAGTAATTCTATTATGTACTCAGTTTGAGGTCTCAAATGTAGTTATCCTCACCATCTTACTGTCTCTGTTAGTAGTTTTGGAGTCAGTTTCCTGGTAAGTAGCTAAAAGGTCCTTAATCATCACACCTAAGCATTAACTGCCTTAGCACAACTTTCCCTAAAAGAGAGTATCAGTACTTTTAAAAGAAACTAACAGTGGGGCTGCTATTTGTAATTTAATTTGCTGTTTCATACCCCACGCCCATCCCCTTCTAAGCATTTTGTCCTGGTTTGTTTCGTCTAGTTGCCTTTTATTCCCCTTTTAAAGAGTTTTCAATGTTCCTTTACTTCCTTTTTTCTGAATTTAACATCAGATTTAAAAGTTGGAAGATTTCATTTTGTTTCATTTTTAAAGTTTTGCTGTGCTGGTGTTCTCTCATGTCTTGTGCATCCAGGGTCAAAAATGACAAAACCTAGTTATTAAATTAGGTTTAATTTAATAACTTCTACATTAAATTAAATGCACATCTCTATGGACTGCATTGGCTTCAGTAAGATCATGGCTTAGGAAATGATTTTTGGATTGTGGTTAGTGTTTCGAGGATTTGACAAATCACATAATTAGAGTTTTAAACATTTATATCGAGGAACACAGTGAGTGGGAAACTTCTGGACTGGGTCTGGCCCAAAAAATAGTTATTTCTTTGATTAGCTTGAACTAATCCAGGTTTCATGAAGGCAACTTAGGTTTTATAAATAGAATTTTAACTGATGGGTAGCTAAATCAGAATTTTGAAGAAAAATCACTTTATTTTTAACCTCTCTGGAATCTTTAGCTAATGAGCATGTATAATAAAAGCAGTTAAATGATAGGCTTAGCTCAGGAAAGCCCAGAATTTACTGCCTTTCAGTCTCCACTTCTCCCTTTCCCTAATTCTCTTAGATTTTCCCCCTCATTTACTCTATCTTGGTTCCTTTCTCTTATCTCTCTCTCCCCACTCCCCTCTTCCAGCCTTCCCCCCTGCCCCCCAGCCTTTTAATTTCCCTCTTATCTTACTTGTCTTTGTCTCCTTCTTAACTGGCCTTTCAAGGAACCAAAGTATATTTTTGTTGTTTTTACTATTAAAGTGTATAAGTTCCACATTTTCCCCAATTAGCTACTCAGTTTTCATATTTGAAGGGGGAAAAGAATTCCTGGGTAAGGTACTTGCTTAGCAAACATCTTTAAGCAAGATGATGAACAAAGGAAGATATTGCTAATCAAACATCCTCACATTTCATTTGTAGCCTATGATGTATGTTTAAATCTGTTTAATTTTTCTTATAATGCATTGCAGTTTATTGGTGTTTAGATAGGGAAAGGGTGTTTTTTTTTAAACAAAAGCCCATGTAGATGCATTCAGCTTGGATTACTTAAAGTATTTATGCTATGAATGCAAATGACATATAGATTAGAATACTCTATCTTATAACCTTTCAGTATTGGTAAACTATCACAGAGATGCCTTTTTTAAACACATAGTAAAAAATACTTCCATCTTTAATTCTCTCCAAGTAATTTCAAGATTTTAACATTTTTCTAATTGATGAATAACTTAATTATGAGACTTCATGGGTGTAATTCTCTTTGTGATGGCCATGCTTTTTTATGTATGAATATTAATAAAATAGCACCCAGCTAGAGTTGATTATTACTACTTTTTATTTCCTTAATACTTTGCTTAAAAGGTAATTAAAAATGGAATTTAAAACTTTTTGGTACAAAAGTTTCTTGAATAAATAAGGTTAAATAAATAGAAACTCTGAGATTCTGTATTTTATGAAACCTCATAAATAGAATTTGGATTCGGGAATTGCTTTCCCCCAGACAGATTAGAATTGTTACAAATGAAACATTTAAGAATTTATAGTAGGGAGGATTTTAATGCAAGTGGTTTGAAAATAAGGGAGCATGAATGACTCTAGATATCACTATTCAATAAAACTTTCTGTGCTGAAGGAAATGTGCTACAAATAATGATGTCCAGTCAGTAGCCACTGGCTACATGTAGCTGTTCTAATTATTTAAAAATAAATTTGAAAAATAAGTGTAAGATTTTTACAAGAACAAGGGTTCAAAATTTATCTCAAGTCTTTTAGACTAAGTCAGTGCCCAGACAGTTTGGGGGGGTCAGAAGCTTAACTTAATGAATATGATGGTGAAGATGGCCTTTTAATAAACCAATGAATTAGAAAAACGACAATGACTACTTTCATAGATTCATGGGACTGTGAAATTCAAGAAAGCTGTTAGCACATTATTTTTCCCCTGTCCCAGAAAACTGTCACTGACTTCTTGAAAAACACCCAAAGAATATGTTGCCAGTTTTCCTTGTTAATATGTTCCAGTGTATGTTAACTGTTATAGCTAGGGGATTTTCCCAGTGTATAAACAAAAATGCTTTGTTTAATCTAATCTGGGAGTTAATTTAGTATAGATGCCCACTGTGGTGTTGGCAGTGGATGCACAGGTGATCCTAGCACTGCTCTTTGCCTCACCCTTCTCTCTTTAAAGGATACATATACAGTTGAGGAGATGACCAGTTGGGCTGGAATGTTGGTCCTTGGCCCTACAATGTCAAGCATTATAGAATTGTTTCATGTGCCTAACCCTCTGCATAACATTTACATTGGACTCATCCAGAGTCATCTATGCTGGTAACTCTCAGCAGCCGGCCTATTAGACTGCTGTTGTTAGGGTACCTGATCCCAAAGCAGTGCTTGCTTCTCCCCATCAGTCCCCTATATGTAACACCATATGAAGAATGTGAAGAACTATTCTGGAATTGACCCATTGACTTCCAAGAGGAGATACATCTTGAGAACATTGTCCTCAGCTCATTGCCACATCATGGTTAGATTTGTATCAGTGTGCTATCAGTAGTCACTGGAAGCAATGAACCCATCTTGTGCTTTTGATTCTCAAGTTGCTGTTTGGGGATGACATGAACAAATGAATTTATACCTCATCTCCCTGTTTTGTGCCAAGGTATGGCCTGTGCTGAGATTCACAAAGAATTGGCTTTGGGTTCTTAGCTTTAATGAACACACTTTTACTTAAACTAGCTCATCGTATTTCCTTTGAGGTTACTCTAGCTAGTAAAAGGCTAGGATGCTAGCCTTCTTTTTAAAGGCTAGGATGCTTTGAAGGGAATTCGTTTTTCTACATAGTTTAGGTAATCCCATTTACTAGATTTTATAAAGCAAAGGTGAGAGATCTTGAGCAGGGAGGCCTAGAGAATGAACTGAGTGGCAGAGTGGCTTCTGTGATCAGCTGAGAGAGATTGTGGTCATTTGGCCCTGAAGATAGAGCCCTGACCTTGCCACATACCTTATCCAGCCCCTTACTACAGCCCTGATATAGTCTGTGCCCACGGGTCACTGCATCAGGTCCAGGGCAGTAGCATGGTGAGGTTAGCCAGATGATGGCCTTGAGCTAAATGTGTGTGTGTGAGAGACAGAGACAGGTCCCAGACAGGGGATTGTTTGAATTGTTTCTGTCTATGCTTTTAAGTTGCCTTTTCAGGAAACCTAGTGACTGTTTTAGAAGTAAATTTAATTAGATTTTGATATAATGTGTACAGCTATGTTATATGAATAAAATGCTAGTCTGACTGTTAAGCAGTAACTTCCCATTTATTTTTTTAAGAAGTGGGTGGTTTAAATGGAGTCAAATACAGAGATTGGTTAGGCATTGAGCATCAAGAAGACGGTGGATGAGCTGAAAGTTGGTGAGGCATAGAGGAGCAATTAAGAGCATGACACCTGTCAATTATACACATTTCTTTTCCTTTCACTTTAGTTTCCACTGGCTCCCTTGCTCAGCAGTATGCGCACCCTAATGCTACCTTGCACCCTCATACTCCACATCCTCAGCCTTCAGCCACCCCCACTGGACAGCAGCAAAACCAACATGGTGGAAGCCATCCTGCACCCAGTCCTGTTCAGGTAAGGAGGAACTGAGAGGCCTTCACCAGCACTGCTTCATCGTGCTGTTTATTGAGTGTTTTCTTCAGTGCCAGGCAAGATGCTAGGTACCACGTGATCAAAACACCGAGCAGCCCTGCCTCATGGAGCCAGTGTACAGCTCTGCAGGCTGTGCCCCCAGGTTTAAATTACCTTAAGGTACATATTGAGAATAAGGTGATGGGGTAAGTTCTGGAAACTTAACCGATATTGAAAAATCTAACAAAGTAAGGAATTGGCTTGGGACTTTTTAAAAATCTCATTTCTAATGTTTACATGATGAGGGTGTTTGTTTTTTTTCCTGTTAGCTTCTTTCATCATGTTTGTTAAGAAGGCACTTAAGGAGCTCTTTGACATCTGTCAGGCCCCTGGAGCAGTACTCCTGTTTTACCACTGCTGGTTGAGGGCTTGTAGGCTGAGAATCAGGCTTGCAGCCCAGACAGGAATGTTTGTGAACAGGAGGCACCCCCACCCCAGCCCTGCTCCTACTCCCTGTGTATTCTCTGGTACCTGCCATTGCTCCTCATCTTAGATAGGCCCAGAGGGAGCCTGTTGTCATATGCAAAACTCAGCTGTGTGTGTGACCCTTAAACTGCTCTTCCTTAAAGAAGATTTTCTCAATTCTTTCCTGTTACTTTGCAGCACCATCAGCATCAGGCCGCCCAGGCTCTCCACCTGGCCAGTCCGCAGCAGCAGTCAGCCATTTACCATGCGGGGCTCGCACCAACCCCACCTTCCATGACACCTGCCTCCAATACACAGTCGCCACAGAATAGTTTTCCAACAGCACAACAGACCGTCTTTACGATTCATCCTTCTCATGTTCAGCCAGCTTATACCAATCCACCCCACATGGCCCATGTACCTCAGGTAAACCCGCTTTAGCCAACTTTCTGTGAAGACCAAGTAGGAAATGAAGGTTGTCAGATAAGCAGCAAAGAGCCAGCTGCTCTTCGAGCCAGGAACCCCTGTGTGTGATGCCATTTGCTTGTCTCCTTTTTTCCACTCAAATACATGTGATCTGGCCCTAAATGAATGTTTGTGTGGTTTTGTAATGGGATCAGTGAAGTTGCTGATTGGTCAGTCTTTTAACATTTCCCAACTGAGACCTTAAAAATATCTTTGACTCTGGAATGCAACCTAATTCTTTCCTTGCTGTATCTGCTTTGCTATGTTTATATAGCTTCATTGCTATATATACATATACATACATATATTCCCCCCCAACACAGACACACACAGACACACACACAGACACACACACACGAGTCTGGCAAGGAGGATGGGATTTCACAAATTCTCAACTCTGAGGTGACTACACTGGGCCTGACCACTTGAATGTTAGTCACACGAGTTCCTAAGAAATATCTGTACTTGTTTTCCCTGGCTGTTCCTACATCTGCTTTGACCATATGTTGTACTTCTTGAAAGGGCTTGACCTTGTACATTCGTGCAGTGTAACTTGAAGCTGGAAGCACCCAGGTGTTCCCATTTTTCTTAAAGAGCAGCCCTGGAAGCCCTTTGGAGCTCACCTCCAGCAAAAGCTTCTAAGGGTTGAAAGGTGTGGTTGCTTTCTGCATCAGCTGCTGACAAAAGTCCAATGCAATCCAGGGCCAATTTGGATTGTCTTAATGAGAGGGAGCTGCACCAAAGTTGGGCTCCAACACTGTCCTTTTAGGCCCTCCCTAGAGCTGTTAAGGGTGAATCGGCTGTATTTGTTGTCTCTTTTTGCTGCTTTCATAACAGAACTCTTCTGGGTCTCAGTTAGCCTGCCTCACTGAACTCCGTTTCATGTCAAGCAGTACACCACTGAGGCTCTGGCGTGGTGGGGCTGGAGATGGTGCTCAGTTGGAGCTAACTCTCAGAGGCGACCTTGTAACTAGCGTTCCACAGCTCTGGGAAGTTCGGGCATTCTCCCCAGCAAACGTGTAGGTTCTGTAGTGTGGCGCACTGCAGTGGATGATTTGCTTTTGATGGTGGGGAGGGGAGCCGGTTTGGTCAGGTGTGGGGCAGCATGGTTTGGCTGAACCAGGAGCTTCATGAGACCAGGGGGCCTGTAGATGTCTAGCAGAGGCTGGTGGCTAAGTAGGTATGTGAATTTACATGTAAGTTGGGGTTCCTAAAACCTCACTTTTGTGCTTTTGTGCTGAAAGAGCAAAAAGGTTAATATTTGCAGGGAAGCCCAGATATGCCCTGGGTCCCTTTGAATATGTAAGAGTCAAAACAGCATTTCATTCAAGGCTTATCCTGGTCTAGAACAGTGCACAGCATGGGAGGCAGGAAACGAGGGCTCTTCCTGGCTCTGCCAAATCCCTGCAGAGCTGCGATCCAGCTATTTGGGCCTACTAAAACCTTGCCAACTTGACAGTGAGACCAGGTTGAACTCATTACCACCTGGTACAGAGAGACACTGGGCTGGACCAGATAATTTTAGATTACCCCTTCCCACCTCACTGGAGCCATTCACTGCAACTCCTGCTGCTGCTGCTCTATCGGCGGATCTTTCAGCAGAGCAAAGGGGCCTGAGAGGCTTTTCTTACCGCCTTGACTCATTGTTCACTGAGGTGTGCTGGTGAGCAGGCAAGAAGTAGAGGGGGAAAGGCAAAGAGAACCTAGAACAAAGTTAACAGTCCCTGCTTATAATGTAATAATCTGCTTTCTTACTTGAAAGAGATGTTATCTGTAAAACTATTCAGGCCCCACATGGAAGCCAGAGTCTAAAGCATCATTGCAGGTGCCTCCTATTAATTTGAGAAAGCTGCGCTTGGATCAGGGATCTTTGTGAAGACCTTGCCCCATACATAGAATCCAGTCCTCAGAAATGTTGAAGGCTAGGACACTGCAGCCCTGACTTTTACCCAGGCTCGCTGGGTGCCTGCTCCCTCAGCCTTGCAGGATCTTCCAAAGGGTGAAGCATGTCTATAGGTCAACTGATGGATCCACTAGGGAATGTCCCCAGAGGAAAGAAAGGGCCCTGAGGGCCCACTGTTGCCCTTTCCTGAGAGCCCCAACCCAGTGAAAGGGACACAGTTGACATGTTGTTTAAGCTGGAGATGTTGCCTGTATGCGTAAAAGAGCTCTCTGTTTCAGGCTCATGTACAGTCAGGAATGGTTCCTTCTCATCCAACTGCCCATGCGCCAATGATGCTAATGACGACACAGCCACCCGGCGGTCCCCAGGCCGCCCTCGCTCAAAGTGCACTACAGCCCATTCCAGTCTCGACAACAGCGCATTTCCCCTATATGACGCACCCTTCAGGTGAGGCGTGTGTGTGCAGGGGCCGCCGGGCACCCCAAAGCATTCTGCTCGCACAGGTCGAATGGCAGGCCGGGCCAGCGCTTCAAGCCCCGCATCTGAGAACTAGCAAGACCCGTCAGAGTGTACACAATAGGGACTGTGATGATCAGTTCAGTGTCAGGGCCTGAGGCTTCCGGGAGCCTAGTCTGTGTGTGTTCTGATGGTATACAGGATTTGGCTTGATGAGAAGCAGCAGCAGCAGCATTCTGTGTAGCTGATGCATGCCTAGGACTCAGTTGGCCTTCCTTGTTATGATAGGTTGGACAGGGCAGTGTTTTCCTTCCTGAGTCCCAACAGTCTTGACATGTGGGGGGTTACTACCATGGCAGAGTTTGATTGTAGCTCTGGAGACTACCACTGATGAGAAAGTGCTGTGTATGGATTGGTTTCGAGTATAGTATTAGCTCCAGTCTATGCCCTGACAGGTAGAGAATGCCCCGTGATTGTGCTTTAATACTTGATGGTGGCCATGGCGATATTTCACAGTCTAACCTGTTATTCTGAAAGCAATACTGGTGCTTGGCTATTATTTGGGGAGGGGATATGTTAAGGCCTTTTTTGTACCCCATGAGCAACAACTCTTCTGGGAGTTTTATCTGAAATGGTTTTATGTCTGACTGGTTTGTTTCTACCCACCCACCTACCTTCTCCCCCTTTTGGTACAGATGCGGTGGGTGGGAAGGGTAAAGAGTGAATTAAATTTTGAGTCTTGTTCAGGTAGCACAAGGATAGCTTTACAGACATGTGCTGCAGAGACACTAGGCTAATGTGCGGTGTTGCCAGTTTTCTGTTTAAATATTCACTTTTCTTTTTTACAGTACAAGCCCACCACCAACAGCAGTTGTAAGGCTGCCCTGGAGGAACCGAAAGGCCAAATTCCCTCCTCCCTTCTACTGCTTCTACCAACTGGAAGCACAGAAAACTAGAATTTCATTTATTTTGTTTTTAAAAAATATATGTTGATTTCTTGTAACATCCAATAGGAATGCTAACAGTTCACTTGCAGTGGAAGATATTTGGACCGAGTAGAGGCATTTAGGAACTTGTGGGCTGTTCCATAATTCCATACGCTGTTTCCAAGTCCCGCAAGTACCCCAGCTCTGCTTGCTGAAACTGGAAGTTATTTATTTTTTAATGACCCTTGAAAGTCATGAACACATCAGCTAGCAAAAGAAGTAACAAGAGTGATTCTTGCTGCTATTACTGCTTTAAAAAAAAAAAAAATCAAGACTTGGAACGCCCTTTTACTAAACTTGACAAAGGTTCAGTAAATTACCGTCAAACTGACGGATTATTATTTATAAATCAAGTTTGATGAAGTAATCACTGTCTACAGTGGTTCAAGTTTTAAGTTAAGGGAAAAACTTTTACTTTGTAGATAATATAAAATAAAAACTTTAAAAAAATCAAAAAATAAAAAAAGTTTTAAAAACTGATATCAAGTTAATGTGTGTTTGTATGAGCTATTTCCATTATAGGATACTGAATATCAGGGCAGGAGGGCTGACTCTGCTGTCTTAATACCCTCGAAGGTTAGCTGTCAAATGATTTTTCTTCTTCACCTTTAGTTCTGGTTCAAGGTATCTCTAGAAAAAGACAAGACTGAGAGATGTTCTCTTTGGTGGCTAGAGGTCTGCTTCAGAAGGAGGAAGGCTGGCCAGAGTTGGGCAGTGCCGAAAGTCCACATCCTCACCCTGACGCTGATTCTGTAAGCTTCCTTTTTAATATCTCCTGAACCCAAATGAGTTAGTCAGAAGTTGTCCTGATTCAGGCATCTGTCTGTTTTACCAGTAGGGGGCAGGAGACACACACACACACACACACACACACACACACACACACACACACACATCTGTAATAAAGAAATCCAGAGGGCTGAAAAGATGCAGCGATGTACAAAATAGCATACTCCTGTAGACCCCTAAGCATTTGTTAATGTCTTCAGTTTGTGGGAGCAGGACAAACAGGAAAAGCAAGTATTTTGCAGAGACTACAGTCATAATAGACAGATAGAGCCTTTAAATACTGTGGTACCAAATCAAGATTCTGAAAACTTTGTTTTAATTCACATGTAGCAATTTGTACATTTTAGCAAAATTTGCATTCTTCAACAATAAGTTACTTATACAGTACATAAACAATGCATACAAATTTGCCAAATACCTTCTGCCTATAATGATACAAGATGAATCCATTTTCTGTGTTGTCATTACAATGTGCTGCTTATTCCGCTAAACACTGGATGTCAGATGTGTCCTTGTTAAGAGTCAGTGGATAATAAATTATCAAGTTCCTCTAGCCTGTGGGAGATGTTAGCGTTCACATGACATTTGTGATAACAGACTTAGCCCTGAATAATAGCATAAAGGAATCTAAAGCAACCCTTAGGGTTCAAGGCCTTGATTTTAAGTTAAGAAACTGTTATGTAAAAATAGTGTTCTCTGGTTTAAGATTTTAATGATTGCTATTCCTTTCTCCTACACGGTCCAGAAATGATCAAAGGCAGAAGATTTATACCAGATAAAGCCATATGGATTGCTGGTCTAAAATTCAAGGCAGGTTAGTTGACTTAATTCTTTGGTGCTGGTGACTGTTAGTTTGTAAAAGTTCATTGAAGTCAGGCGAAGGAGGTGATGATGCTGGGAGCAGTTAAGCTATCCTTGTTGTCTGTAATTAGAGATAACTATAGGGCTTGTGATGCTTACTGTCCAACTGGCACTCAAGAGTCTGGCTCTCAGTAGAGGCTGCTGGCTTGGCCTCTTGCCGCCAGCAGTGGTCACATTGAGGCTGGAAAGAGGGTGGTGGAATGTGCTATGACTGCGGTGGGCTGACTGCAGCCGTCAGGGTTGCTGCCTCGCTGCCTGTGACAGCATCAAGCCCAGGGACCCACTGCCCCCGTTCCTCCAGCTCAACCTGCTCTAGCAGAAAGAAAAGGCATTGACTTAGTGTGTCGCTTCTTCCCAGGCCATGAGGGGCCTTTTTGTCGGAATGTATTTGAGCTGTCCTGGTAACTCAGACACATTTAGTAAAGAAATGTTTTTCTTGAACATTTTACACTGAAGCAGTCTGGAAGTGGATGACTCTGTCACAGATTCTGAGCTTGTACTTTGTAGCCAGTCGGTCAGAGCTGCTGGCTTGCTGTGCCTGGCTTGCCTCTTGGCACTACCTGAGAATTGTATGTTGAGAGGCTGTTAAGAAGTGAGTGCCCCTGGCTTGTGGATATCATATCCCAGATGTTTGTTTACCCTTCTGGTTGGAGGGAGGGAACTTACTTGTTTGGTTCATTGTCTGCTTGGCCCCTTTCCTGTGCAGACAGGGGAAAATCTGTACCAGTGACTTGTCAGCATTTACTTTCTATGATGAGCTTTCTCTTGTAAAAGAGAAATCCAAAACAGTGCCTAATCCTGGTCTACACTTTGCTTAGCATTCATTAATCAGACCTGCTTGATGTGTAGAAAATGTGGCCCTTAGAAATAGACCACAACTCTAGATCAGGGTTGGTTATGCTTTACCGTCTGTGAAAACACCCAGGACTGTTGGTTTCATCTGTATATATAAGGTGGGGGGAGGGGCACGCCACACAGCTTGCAGGATCTCAGTTCCCTGACCAGGGGTGGAACCCACGCCCCCTACAGGGAAGCACAGAGCCCTACCACTGGACCGCCAGGGAAGTCCCAGGAGTGTTGGTTTTAAAAGTGGAAGAGAGGTGGCTCCTGACCTCCCTGCCGCTCCCAAAGTCTGACCTCTGACCTCTTGGAGTAGAGAATGGCTGGAGGGAACAGACACACGCCTCACCCCAGATAAGGCAGGCAAGTAGTTAGTTTAGGCCAAGGTTTAATTTTAGCTTTTGACTGATGTATCTATAAATGTTAAGCTGCACTGAACTCCCAGTTTCCTAGAAGCCACTTCGATGAGCCCAGCGGCTATACTGAACGGCTCTGCTCGCACCCACAAGCAACTGACTCCACTCGGTCACTGCCTCCCTTGTTTCTGAGCCTCTGCATGAAAGTTCTGGGAGGAGCCAGCCCCCTATGAATTGTATCACTTGTGAAAGGCAAGTATAGATGGAGATTTGACTGCAGGACCTCCCTGCATGGTAGAGGTTATGTGTGCCTATGTATACGTGCACACACATGCTTCATCAGATGAAGCAGTGGTTACTGCTGGAACAGAACACTGATTGTGGGCTATTAAAGGAGTTTCTCATTAGCTGTGGCACCATTCCTAGCTTCCATTTTGGCTCAAGAATGAGCCTAAAACCTTGTGGGATAATTTAATAAGCCTTTAGACACTTGGAGGCTCTGAGCCAAGCCCTGTTGGTGAAGGATTTACTAGAAAGGGCCCAGCAGCCCTTTATTCCTTTTTCCTTGCCCCTCCCTTACCCCTCAGTTTAACTCTCACCATAAAGCTGCTGTAAACCAGAATCCAGTTTTTTATTCATAAGGCACCAGGGTGGAATTGTTCCTTGCCACCCTCCTATTTCAGTAATTGCCTGAATTTCCCTGAAAGGGTGACACACTTCACTTCTCTACATTTAGGAAGGACAGTGGCTCCTCAGCAACAGGTGATGGTCCTGAGGATGCAATAGACAAGGAAGCCAGGCATGCTGGCTCGAACCAGGAACTGGTCAAGTAGGATTTGCATAGCTGTCTCTGACTACAAAAATCGCATGGGTATTAGTTCAAACAGTGCAATGAAATAAGCAGTGGTTTAATTTTGAAACCCGAATCCTTTGAAAAATTAATCTGAGGTAAAAATGTTTAAAATCATTTTTGACCTTTAGCTTGTCCATCTGCCAGAACTTTGTTCTAAAGTTGAGAGTCGAAGCAGGATAGGTGTGGTCACCTGTGGCTTGGGTACAGCAGACCCGCCACGTGGACTGAAGCTATAATGGGAAAAACCACAGGAGAATCCAGGGCTTGTTAGTGTTTTGGGCTTCCTGATGGGCCCCCTTCCCCCTCCCCCCTCCCCAAGTAGAAAGTCTGCCAGCTGGGACAGTGTCAGTGAAAAAGAGAACAAGTTTCCACTGCCAACTCCAGCCCTCAGCCCACTGCCCCCTCTAAGAGTGATGGGGCCTGGTCCTAGGGACCCAGGGCAGGAGCTGGCGACATGCACGAACAAGAACTACATCTGTAAACAATAAGGAGAAAGCCAGGTGAGAATGGAACTTCTAGGATGGAAACAATAAGGAGAAAGCCAGGTGAGAATGGAACTTCTAGGAGGCCCTTTAACAGGCCTAATTGAAGGGTCACATCCAAACTGGAATGAACAGTTAACAGTGTCCCTTAAATCTCTCTGGAAGGAAGGAAAGAAAGTTACATTCAGAAGTTCACATCTCTGCTTGCTTGTGCTTCTCGGGGGCCTCTGGGAGGCCTGTCAGAGAGGTGTGTACTGATTGTCTATGGCCCGCAGGTGGCTCCGGGAGGAGGAGTCCATTTCATAGTCCGAGTCCCGGGCCCGACTGGTGGGCTCGGGCTCCAGGTGCCGCAGGCTGTTGGCCAGTTCCTCAGGCGAAGGCACCAGGTGGAAGATCTGCTCTGGGGGAGAGGACCGGCCTGGGAGACCCTCTGGGCCGAGCCCCCGTGGACAGCCAGAAGCGCTAAGGTGGGGAAGGCCCAGCTCTGAATCCCAGCGAGAGAGGGAGAAAGGGAACAGGACAGTGTTGGAGGAACCTGGGGGACAAGTGACCAAGAGAGAGACCACACTGTCAGTCTTAACAGGGTGGAGGCAAGTGTTGGAAGGACACAACACGAGGTCTCGGTTCCCAGTGCCACCACCCCCTTTATCAAGGGGCATTAGGGTCACACCTGGCGGCTGGGAGACGACTACCACATAGCTGGACAGCCGGACGTCACAGGCAGCCCCACACTCGAGTGGGATGGGTGAGCATTGGAAGTGGTGGAGCATGTCCACAACCGAGGGGAAGTGGAGGTGTTGCACACGACACTGGCCCCGCTCGGTCAGTGACAGGCGCAGGTGCTGCAGGAGAGGAGGACAGTAGGCTCAGGCATTGGCCCCTAAGGGCCTTGAACCTGGCCAGGGTGCAGCCCACCTGCCTTGCCCCATACCTTGGCTATGCCCTGGAAGTTGAATGTGAGCACGTACTCCCCACGCCGAGTCTCACTCTGCCGTACCAGGAACACTCCGTGAGCATCAGGACCCTGCAGCTGAACCAGCTGAGCTGCCTTCACTCGGGAGATGGGGCCATGGAACCAGGGGTAGCAGGACAGGAAGTGATCTGTTTTCTGGCAGGCTGGATCCAGCAACCCCCCAGGAGAAGCACCTGATAGAGAAGGAGACGGGTGATGGTGATCCTTTGTGTGCCTTATGTCCTGGGCTGAGTTCCGACACACCGGAGGACAAAGGCCCTGACCCCTCACCTTGGTTCAAGGAATCTGTGCTTCCCCTTGGAGAGTTAGATGTGCCGGGCTCTAAGGCTGAGGGAATATGCATCTCTGGGTCTGTGCTGAGTCTGCTGGAGAAGGGTTGGGGTTAAGAATCTGGGTAGGTCAGGAGGAGCAGTAAAAGCTGTGCCAGGAGTGGGGCCCTAGGGTCTCACCCTTGGCCTGCGCACTCCCGGAGCTCGGCCATCCATGAGTTCAGCTGCTGCTCATCTCCCACCTCAAAGATGATGTCTGTCCGATCCTTCACCTGGCAGGGAGAGAGGGGAGAGCTGGGTGGGATCCCTGAGGCCTGTGTCTATTCCTCCCAGGTGTGGAAAGCTGTCACTCACCTTCAGCACAAAGGTGTAGAGGTTGTCAGGCATCTCGAGACGTGTGCATCGCCGAATCTCCTGGATGCTGGAGCAGGCTGCTTGTAGCTTGGGCTTTGAACTCTAGGAGACCAAGGCAGACATTCACAGGCCTGTCCCTGATGGCCCTTCACCCACCCAGGCCTCTGCCCTTTTCCGCAGCCTCCCCAGGGGCTAGCTTGCTGAGTGCATGCTCGTGGTGCTGCTGAGCAGGCACCCCAAGCCTGGAGTGCGTTCTAGCATTCTGCCTTGCAGGAGCCTGCAGAGGGCCCTCTGCCTGTAGCCACAGCACCATCTCCCCCGACCCCAACACACACACACACAGAGCTCCCCAGCACCCGATGTGGCCTAAGGGCCAACCTCTGCTTCACCTGGACCTGTGGACATTCCAGCTCTGACATGTCTGTTGGCTGATGCCTGTTGCCCTTCCCACTGGTGGAGCAAAACCCCCTAACCCCCTACCCTTGCCAGTCACAGTGGCTGCTGGCCGCCTCATCGCAGTAAACCCAGAGAGGGGACATGAGGGTATCCAACCCAAGTTCCCTCTATGGTGCTGACTCTGCCTGGGGGCCCAGGACTTTATCATACCTTTAGCTCCGCTCCTCCGCAGGCTTAGGAAGCAGATACTATCACCACATCTTAAAAAGAAGAAACTCAAATCTTGGAAGTAAAGTCATTTGCCTGAGGAAGTGGCGATCAGGTTGTGAACCCTTATCCAAAGCATACAGCCTACCTAGAACCTCAAATTCCCACACCTAGCTAATCTGTCCTGCCTTCAAGTCTTAGGACAAGGAGGGGGTTGGCAGAGTAGCTTAGCTATGGGCTCTTGGGGCTCTTTTGCCAATGTGCCCAAAGGGGCAATGCCTGGCATGGCTGCCCTCAATTACAGCCAGCCAGAAGCCCACACAAAACCTGGGGCCCAGCAGTCTCCCATGACATTCAACCCACGTGGGGTTCAGAATGGGTGGGAGATGACCCCCCCCTACCCTTTTGCCAGCAAAAGGGTCCTGACTGAACCTGGCTGACCCTGCAGATGCTTGTTCCCGGGCCCAGGAGCTCTCATCGTTTTCTCAGAAAGGAGATCACCCCCTGCCCCCATCTCCTCCACTTCCTCCTGTGATAAGACTGGTAAGATTGTTTCTCTGGGGTCATGAGATGATCGATGGCTGCTGCAGAGGCCAAAAGAAGATAAGAGTGTGGGGGAAGGAGCAAGATATGGGGAATGGACAGAGGATACCCAACTGGGCCCTCCTCCCTCCAGCAGCTTTTCCTAAGAGCCAGGAGACAGACAGCAAGGCGCACCTGGAAATACCACAGCTCCCACCAAGGCAGTGCCGGCTGGGGAGGAGGAAACGAGGCAGGAACAAAGGTGAGTTCCAGGCACAGTGGCTTTGGCGGACCTGACCTCCATGAAAGGTGGTGCAAGAGTCAATCCTCAAAGCCATACACTTAAGCATGCTTCAGACACACAGGTGCCAGGGTCCTGATAGAAGGATGGTGACCCCAGGACTGGGCAGCCTGGCAGGAGAGGGTTGGTCAAACTGGGGCTCTTCCTGGTCCAGGCCCACCCCCAGAAGGTCTTGGAGCTGTCAGTCCTGCCCTGGTTGTTGGACACAGCAGTCTGGGGAGAACAGCTCTGGGAACAAGCTCAGAGAGGTTGCTCTGGGAGCCTCGCCTGGCACCTACACAAGCACTGGACACGCTGGAACGCATGGGAAGCAGGGCCTCTGCTCTCCCAGCAGCTTTCACTGTCAGCCAGCCCCTCTGTCTCTATTTCCCGTCTGCAAAACAGGTAGGTGCAGAGGGCTCCTTCCTCTTGCTTTTGCAGTCGGCCCTGCCTGGACCCCCAGCCTCCCCACTGTCTCTGGGCTCTCAGCATCACTGGGAGGAAGCAGGCCAGGCCGAGAGGGTAACAGGCCTCATCTCCCTTTCAGTTCCGCTCTGGGCCCTGGGCCCTGCCCCCAGTGTGAGTGCCAAGATTACTGGCAGAGCCTGGTTTCACTCTGAAAGTGGGGCCCTCCATGCCAGCTTCACCCCCAGCAGCTGAGAAACCGCTGACCTGACAGGCAGTGAAGAGAGCATTCCCCTCCTCCCCCGACAGCCAACCCTGGCCACACAGACGTCCTGGCTCCCCTCTGCCTGCCGGCTGAGCGTGATACGGGTTCTTTGGTGTCTTCACGGTGGCCCAGGCTCACACAACCCCAGAGGCTGAGCCGGGGGCTGAACCCCAGCCTGCCAAGGACCAGAGCCAGTGCATCTACCATGCTGCCTGGTGGGGGAGATGCCAGGGGCTCTACCCAGATTGGAGGAGCAATTGAGAGCACAGGGACAGACATCCCCACCTATGGCCACAGCCCTAGCTGGACAGTCCAGAGCAGGACTTGTGAGCGCCGGTCACTGTGTGGATGGACCAGTGGGTGCCTTTCTGACTGAACAATGTGATGGAACAGAGCTCTGGTGGAGAGAGCCGAGCCCAAACCGCAGCTGCAGGAACACTTGGGGGCTTCAGGTTCCCCTCTTCTCACACACCCTATTCCACCTGCCACGCAGAGCAAGCCAGGCCAGCAGCTGCTCTCTGGACCCACCTCAGAGTCACACTGTGCTTGGGTGATCAAAATGACCAGACCATCCCAGTGTTTGTAGTACAGGCAGTAGTAGACTGTCACCCACCACATCCTGCAGCATCCCTCCTGGGGAGCTGTTCTCATTCTTAGCTCCCAGCATCCAAAAAGCCAATGGCCACTGTGCCTCCAGTGGTAACCCATTTTTTTGTTTGCTCTGGCTGCTAGGAAGAGTAAAGACAAAGATGTAGACCAGCTTTGACGCTGTCCTCACAGTAGGGCTTGCGTTTCTAGAGCTAACTTTATCCAGGCTTCTTAATTTTTCTTATTCCTCTAGGCACTAGGGTTCAGTCTTGACCCTACTCTTCTTGTATAACCTTGGACAAGCGACTCAGCCCTCCATGCCTTAGTTTTGTCATATGTATGTATGGTGGAAATATTTAATAGTCCCTCTCTTTCCACAGGGTTGGTATGGTGATTGGGTGAACTATTGCAAGTGAAAGAAATACCTGATAACAGCTGCTGTTAAATTTCCAGGCTGGGGCCAGCCAAGATGGGAAAAGCCTGCTTGGGTTGACTGCAGCGTTACAGTGCTCCCATGTCACAGGACTGCAGTACGGCAGCGTTACAGTGCTCCTGTGTCACGTACAGTACTACAGCTTCCCCTGAGCACACACCTGCTTTCTCTCAACCTTACACACCCTGTTTGTAATGTGCTCCCTTTCTACCTGTAACGAAGTTGACACATAATATAACCTCCCTCCCTACGTACCTACCCTAAGTAAGATAAAAGGGAAGTAATGAAATGTAATTGATATTAAAATAAAATGTATATCACTGTGACTATGCATGACACACAGTGAACTACTCAGGTGCTTCTGGGTTTGAAGAGATCAAGGACATGAAGGTGCCAGAGGGTGGGTAGGGTGAGCCCTGAAAGGACAATTAGTCTGTTCAGTGGACACGGCAGGAGCAGGAAGTTCCATGTGCTTGTACATAGACAGAGCAAAATTCTGGCCCTAGGTTTGTTCTCGTGCTTTTGGAGGGCGTTTTGGTCAGCTGCCTAGCCCGCAGGTTCATCCAGTCCGCCTCAGCTCCCACTGTCCAAGGACTCCTTTCTCCCTTGGCAGGGGGCCAGGGGCAGGCGGCCTTTTGGGCCTCGAATCTGCCTGGAGGGGATGAGAGGAGGACTGGGACCAGACCTGGCCTTTCTCTGGAGGCCCTGCCTTCCCTAAACCTGCTGCCACTCCCTGTGTGCTCAGGGGCGGGGATGGCCCATCCAGAGTCTTCCAGGGTACTGGGCTGTACCCTGCTCTGCCGTGTACTCATGGCCATTCATACCCACAAGACCCCAGCAGAGGTTCCGGTGCCCCAGCAGGAACAAAAAATACACACAGGATCACAGAGCTGTGAGAGCTCCCAGAGAAGGGAGACAGACACCCAACAGGCAGGGGACAGTAAGGGCCAGGACAGGCAGGTGGGAAGGCAGTGAGCTCCCCAGGTGCCAGGATGACCCTGGCAAAGGCCCTGAGGTGGGGAAGCACAAAGGCACAGTGAGACTGGCACGCAATGAGGCAGTCCCCATGGGACCTTGAGGCTGTGGGAGTCCGTCGGCTTATTCTATGGTGGAGCTGTGGAGGTGAGGTGGGCAGCTGACGCTCACATTAAATACTTGGGCAGAAGCAGGCCAGCTAGTTGGGCCCGACCCCGCTCTTACCCGCCGCCTCTGTGGGAGGCTGGAGGGGAAGACAACATCCAATTCACACCCAAGCAGTAAAGGGCCTGGCACGGAGGGTCCCGTGGTATGGGCAGGCCGAGCCCTCACAATGGCCTTATTCCATCCACTGTAGGGGCCTTTATCCTTCAAGGGAAAGCCTTGAGGGGAGACCTCCCACCACCATCTGGAATCCCCCAGGCCACACCAGCCCCTTAGAAGTCTTGCCTCTCCCAGGGTTTTGGGACCCTCATTCCTGTCCTATAAAGAGCAGCAATGGGACAGGAAGTAGGACATAGTATACGGCCCGAAGGTCTTGGTCCAAGCCACACTCCTCTGTCATGGCCCTCACGCCGTCAAGGTAGCATCCCCATGGCCTAGAGGCAAGGTTAGACGAGCCCTAGCTCCACCACTTATTACCTTTGGGATCTTGGGCGTGGCACTAACTGGCAGCCTCAGTTTTCTCTTTGGTAGCGTGGGAACAGTAAGCAGACTCCAGGAGGAGGAGGATGAGTGTGCAGTCTTTGATGGGGGCCTGAAAACTTAAAGGCCCAGAAGAAATTCTAGACCCCAGTCATGGATAACTGAGTCCCCCAACCCCAGGCCACAGCCCAGAATCGATACTGCCTGTATGGATGAATGAATGAACAAATGGACGAAAAAACATTATGGGAAAGGCTTAATCATGCCTTACTGATTGTATCTAAACAACCTTAAAAAAAAAAAAAAAGAAAATACCCTGTCTTGTTCCAAAAATTTTAGTCCTGTTATAGGGATACTCAGAGTGGGAAGGGAGACAACTGCTAGAA